GATCACCCATTTCAATTCCTTTACTAAAGAGGGGTGCTAATCTGAGTAGAGAAAATCACTTACGAAAGATAGCGGAAAGCCTCTAGAGTAGAAAGACAAACGGGGGAGAAAGAAGGAAGAGGAGGGGAAGTCTCCAACTTCTGTAAAAGAGGAGGGGCGTTGAGTCAAGTAGGAAAAGTCACCTACTAAAAAATAGCAGAAAATCTCAACTGTCAGAGAGCCAGAGGGATAAGATGAGAAGGTGCAGGTTTTCTCTTGGCCCTGGGGGTCTATTTATATTTTTTTGGGAGAAGGGGGAAGTTTCTAGAGTTTTCTGACATTTTCAAATTTTCTAAATTTTTTAAATTTTTTTTTAATTTTTTTGCGAATAAAAAAAATAATTACTTAAGTTGGTGGAGGCAACCAATCGCCGGCCTGAACCGGCACCTAATCGCTGGCGGGCGCGTGGCACCATGTTGGCCAGGCGCGGGTCAGCTATGCCATAGGTGCAGATCAGCGGAGGGTCAGGCGGGCCCCAAGCGAGTACGGAGCAAACCCAGGCGGGTCGCGGGCGGGCCCAGGCGGGTCTCGGGTGCTTCGATCGCGGGCCACGGGCAGGCTACAACACGAGCCAGGCAAGCCCAGGGCGGGCCGCGGGAGGACCACAATGCGGGCCGTTAGGCTTGGCACGTGGTTTCACGCCGCCGATAGCAATGGAGATGGTGGTGGAGGTGATCGGTTGGCCGGTTTGGCTGCCCACTCAATTTTGGGTCTGATTTTCATTCCTGAGAGGCCAAATCGAAAGTTTTTGGGGTCCTTGGGATCTTTTTTCGAAGTTTCGCACTCAATTTTGACAGTTTTAAAATAATTTGAGGCTCCTACATGCAAGATCAGATTTCAAATCACATGGATTATTTTCCCAAATTTGTGATGCATATTTTCAGACTCTTAGAGTTTTGACATCCAAAAATAGGGGGAAACTGATATATCCTCAAAAAATTATATTGATAGGGCACGAATCTCGAGGCAAAATTGGGCCAGAAACTTCAAAAATTAAATTTGGGATCAATTGAACTCCAATTTTAATGAACTTATAGTCAAACTGAGCGTCTTGGAAATACAAACTCAACGACACCAAATTTGACTAAATCCGAGCCCAAATGTGTCCAAATCAAGCACCCGAAGTGCTATTAGAAAGTTCAAACCATAATTTGAGTAACCAACTAATTTTCAAATGTGACGTTCTTATAGTCAAATCAAACGGCTTGAAGAGACAAATCCAACGAGCCCAAGATTGCCAAATTCTGACATCATTAAGACCTTCAAATATCTGACGAACGGTGCACGTTCAAGGGATTCAATATCGGTCATTCATCTAACCACTCCATATTTACCGCTGATCTCTCACATATTTACAAGCCATGCCACTCCATAATATCTATAAATGAACCCCTCATTTCTCATGAGAGGGGACCCCAACCAAGAAGAAGCAAGAAGAAGAGAAGAAGAAGAGAAGGATAGGAGGGAAGAACTCCTCGACCACCGCTAGAGTTCTGCCCGACGCCGGAATTCCGAACGACGCCAGATTTTTGCTCGACGCTGGAATTCTGTCCAACTTCCGAACGACGTCGGAGTTCTGTCTGACTTCCGAACGACGCCGGAGTTCTATCTAACGCTCAAGTGACGCAAGAGTTCTGCTCAACGCAGGAATTTCGCTCAACTTCCGAACGACGTTGGAATTCTACTCGACCTCCGAAGGACACCAAAATTCCACCCATCTCTAAGTGATGCCGGAACTCTGCTCGACATTGTAACTGATTTTCAATCCTGAAGAGATTCATTGTAATTTGATCGTCCTAAATTTTAAGGATGAGTCAGCCTCTTGTATTTCCAGAAAACACTAGTGAAACTCTTTAAACTAGGTGTGGCCCGTGGTTTTTCCCCTTTCAGGGTTTTCCACATAAAAATCCCGGTGTTGATATTTCTCCTCTGTTTGCGTGCTAGATATTCGTATAATATTGATACGGAAGTTTTTCAACTCTATCGCCGCGTATATTCTAATCCTCAACAAGTTCGATCGCTCATCCTCGTAGGTTCGTCAGTTTGCTCTCCTCCTCATAAATTGAATGATTTTACCGGTTAGATTTATTACGCATTTTTCATTTTTCGGGACATTTTCCATTAGCATGGGGGGGGGGGGGGCCCAAAAAAAAAAAGGGGGGGGGGGGGCCCTAAAAATAAAACACTTTGAGAGGATGTGAAGACTAAAAGGACCGGCCTTGGGAAAGCATAAATATTAATATGTAAATTTAACCATCAAGCAAATGGAATTTGGCCATCCGCCATTTTTTTTTAATGTTAACGCCACCCTCCTATATGTATATTTAGATATACTTTAAAATGTGTTGTCCTCTACAATTAATATATTTCCTTTATTAATAAATTTTTATTAAAATCTCATTAAAAAAATTACATAAGTGTTAGTTAAAATCTTTAATTTTTATTTGAAACTTTACTTCAAAGTATATCAAGTAAATTTTAGCTAAAATGATATTAAAATGATTGAATTTAAAACTTACTTAAATTAGTTGAAATGAAATAATTTAAAGAATATCGAGTAAATTTTAGCCCTCGACCCAAACGGCCTGCTTCGTTTTTCCCTTTGCTCATCTCTCACGACTCGCGACTCACGATTTCGAGTACGACTTTCATTTTCCCTTTAGCTCCTCTCTCACTCCCAAACGGAGACCGCCCGTGGCAAATATTTATGTCTTCTATAAGCTCTAAGAGTGATGTTATTTGCATTTTAATTGGGAAATTTACATGCATACCACTATATACTTATTAATTTACATATTTAACACCTAAAACATTAATATTACACTTATACCACTCAAATCCTAAATTTACATCATTTCTACCACTCCGTCTACCGCCTTCCTCACGCCGTCTTTCTTCCCGCCGAAAACTCCTCTTTGCGCACAACATTTGGTAAGTATTGTATCGGACGTCTTTCTTCCCACCCAAATCCCCCATTGTCGCTAAATGTTGCAAATTTCCTTGGTGGACGTCTCACGAATTACCTCCATGTGAGGCCGCTACAACTCGTTGTGCTCACATTGTCCTTCACGGTATTGTCTTCCGAAGCATTTTTTTATGATATGGTATTTGATTTATCTGAGAGTTACTGCATGTAGTTTGGTATTGTCTTCCTCATATTTTTTTATCCTTCGTTCATCTTGGCAGCGGCTGAGTGGTTCCAAGAAAAGTTTCTCACAACAGATTCTCTCCTCATTTAAAAACTAGATAAGCTAAAAAAATTGTCCTATATTTGAAGTCCGGCATTTTTAACGAGGTCGGTAATTTTTAACGAAACCCAAATGTGCATTTCAACACAGTTTATACATAAAAAAAATGCTTAGAAAGCCTCATTTAGGTGACGAACAACTAGCTAGACGCCGAGCAAACAAAATCATTTAGAATAAAATGAGAGCATTCATCAGAACTCGCCTTCCTCCCCTTTTGTGAGCTCCAATTCTTCCGTCCAGTTCGTTTGCCCTAACTTCCTCTCAGATTGGCGCCAAGCGGAGAAAGACGTCGTGAGGAAGCCGGTAGACGGAGTGGTAGAAATGATGTAAATTAGGGATTTGAGTGGTATAAGTGTTATATTAATGTTTCAGTTGTTAGATATGTAAAATAATAAGTATATAGTGGTATGTATGTAAATTTCCCTTTTTAATTTTGATCTTACATCTCCTCTGGCTCTAGTAATAAGACGACAAATAGAACTATTTTTAATTTAGCCCCCCCCCCCCCCCCCCCCCTTTTATTTCGCCCCCCCCCCCCCCCCCCCCGAATAAAATTTCTGGCTCCGCCAGTGGTCCATTAGGGCATTATAAATTCTATAATTATTTGAGGAACTCAGCAACTAACTCCAATCTTAGGCCCCTCATCTAAAATTTATTTTTTTTACCTATTTGCTTAGACTTTATCCATGGGATAGATGTTTGGATTTTTAACCTAAATCTCGTTCTCATATGATTTGATTAAGTAGATACATTTGTTGGGAAATGACTAATTTAATGCCAAAAAACATAAATTTAGGTCTTAAACATCAATGGAATGATGAAGAAAATTGCATTTCACTAATGTTATCTAATCATTTATAAAATAATGTTCTCTTTTTTAACATATGACAGCCACAAGATTTAGAGTTCATTTGTGACGGCTTTTTTACTGATTCTTAAAGCATTTTTTTAATGATTAAAAAGCTACTTTAAGAAGCAGTAAGAAAGCTGTCCCAAATGAAGCCTTATTTGACATTTTATTTATGATTAGCTATCTAACAGTTAAGCTTCGTTTGGGACAACTCTTTACTGCTTTCTGAAATGATTTTTTAGGGAAAAAAAATTTGAACTAAACATTTTTGTAAAAAAATAATTTTATAAAGTAGCAAAAAAAACTATCCCGAATGTAAACTTATTTTAATTCAATTTTTAAAATAATTAATCACGCTAATTTACTTCTTAGAACAAAACTGTATTTTTATCAAAAAAAAAAGAAAAAAACTTTTTTTCCAAAGGTTTTCTCTTTCTATAATCATATTTTTGTAACTTTTTTTCAGTGGAGATATCCAATCCTTTTGTTATCTTTTAACTATAGAAAAAATTAAAGAATATCTCAGTTATTTAATACTTCATCTGTCTTCAGTAAAAATAAAAATCATTTATATTTTATATTTCATAATCATTTATTTTGTTTAATTTTAATTATATTTTATATTTAATTACATTAATATAAATGAATTATATTAATATTACTACTTATTTCAGCCGCTTTCCGGACGCGGATACCAAAAAATAAAAAAATAATAATATTTAAAACAAAAAAACCGAATCACTCCTTATTTATGTCGGCGATTAGCTCTAAGCAACGAATCACAGCCGTCCAAATTCTGAATCACCGCTAATCCATCGTCTATAAAAACCCCCAAAGGACTCCGAGGGTAGGGGCCCTGCGCATCTTCTCGTTATCTCCACGTTGTTTCTTCCACGGAGAATAGAGAGCTCGAAGAATGGAAGAGAAGCCGAATGTCGAGTTCACGGCGGCCGGAGAGAAGGTGGGTTCCCTGTCCTGTTTCAAGAGGATCTGCGTCTTCTGCGGGAGTAGCACCGGGAAGAAGGCGGGTTACAGGGAAGCGGCCGTCGAGCTCGGAAAGGAACTGGTGAGTTGGAGTAATCATCAAAGATAATTTCTTTTTTCAGTTCTTTTTCGAAGCCATTGCCGCTTATGCGCTACCATGAATCGAATTCGATTAGTTCGCTGTTACAGAGAGGAGGGAGATAATATGGGTTTCTGATTATTTTGCTTAAATTGCTCAAATCTGTAATCCTGGCTGGTTTTATTCGATTTTGGGAACAAGTTTTGGATTGGAATTATGAAATTTGTTTAGGGTTACAGGACATGAAAATGGGAGAGAAGGAGATTGCTAGCTGTCATCCGTCTAGCTGATGGGCGGGTTTCTTGCATCAGTTGCATGACCTCTCTCTGACACGATTTTTGATGAAAATTTAATTTTTATGGTTAGTGAAATAATAATATTATTATTATTTTGTCCATTGCAATAAAATGCTGTTGCCATACTTTTACGGAGAGTCGTGTAGCCGCTTTCATCCAGCATCATAATTAGTATTTTCTTTGTCTTTTTTCTATTGAATTGTATGGTATTTATCTATTTTCATTCAATGAGAAATTTGATTTTATTTTATGGATTGGATATTATATTTTATAAATGTGGCATTTGGATTTTTGTTTTAGGTGGCGAGAGGAATTGATTTGGTTTATGGAGGTGGTAGCGTTGGATTGATGGGCCTCGTCGCTCACGCTGTTCATGATGGTGGCGGCCATGTCTTAGGGTCATCTCTCTCTCTCTCTCTCTCTCTCTCTCTCTCTCTCATTTAATTGCAGATTCACATCTGTGTAACACTTCGAACCGGATATTTCTTACACAAAATCTTAAGCTTTTAGACTAAAGTGAGCAGAATCTTTCTCTTTGATCACTTGCTTAAAGATAATTTCAATGTCATAAATGGAAATTTGTTTCACCTTGGGCTGAACTGTGAAGTGATTTATAACTATACACCATAGAATTTTGATATATTTACATATTAACATCCAAAGATTTATATTTATTTATACAACGTCTTACATTTTTTTTTGAAATAGATAAGAACAAATACATTAAAAGATAGATTTTTTTACTTTTAATAAGTTAATGTTAATGATGTTTTTGATGTAATATATTATCATGATGTTAAAGAAATAAATAGAAATATTTGGTGCTAGATTTTAAAATGTATAAGATTGCTGTGGTGTGTAAGTAAACCGCCGCCCATTATTATTTTTCTATCATAGAATGTTAGGGATTAATGTATATTTTTCACTCAATGATAGAAGAGTTTCTTCTAATGCTTCCTTCTGCAAAATAGTTTCAGAGTTTTACAAAGCTGTCCATTAATTACATAATTATGGGAGCCCAATAGAGTGTCTGGCACTTGAAATGCTTGGAAGAAGAATTTTTTTTTCTTTTGTTTAGCCTATTAAATACCAACGACTTCTTTGGCCTCCTTTTGTCATATTAGCAGAATATTCAGTCCCTCTTTGATAATCATTCCCTCTTTTTAGCATTTTTTTTTAATTTTTTTTTATTTTGGCTTTAGCATTTTTCATTAGCTTTGATTCTACTTTATGACTTATTCAATGGTTTTGGGTCTTGGTCTAGGACTTTTGTGCCATTTAAATGTTTTTTAAATATTTTGAATATTTTTTGTTTAGTTGTTTATGCAAGGCTTGATTTTTTTCAGAATAGTCGATTTGCTTGTGTAAAAAGGTTTTGTTTTTCCTGACTCGCATACTTCACACATTCATCAACTACACAACCCATCTTAGCTTAAGTGGTTGAGAGCTTTATCTCCCATCACTAAAGATCTGAGTTAGAAAACTTGCATATTCAAGTTGAGCCTTAATTTATGAAAATTCACTCAAAATTCCCTCAAAAAGGATTATTAATTAATTTTCATGTATCAACTCGTTTGATATAATCTTGTTGCTGACTTGCATTAAATTTTTTTTTTAATAGGGTCATCCCGAAGTCTTTGATGCCGAGGGAGGTAAGTTGTGCACTTCAAAATATCCTCATTGTATTAATCTTGGCGATCTTGCTTTCTTTTTTCTTTTTCTTTTTTTTTTGAATATTTTAGTTTTATTTTGAAATGAGAAATGCTTCGCAGATGACCGATTTTTGTGGGAGGCTTTGCCCATTTGGGTTTTAGAACCATTCTTCTCTATTGAGATTATATAAATATTTGAGCAAATGAATAATTTCTGTGGAGGAGTTATTAGAATGAGATGGCTTTTATGTCATCACTTATGTCATCATTATTATTATAATATGCTGCTAGCTTTGTTTATTGTTTTCAAGAGAAAGCTGTGCTGTCTGATAAGTCATAAAATTTTGCATCTGAGAACTTGTGATGCTCATGAAATTCCTACTTTTTTAATGTTAGTCCTTCCAGTGAGAGCTATATGAAGACATTAGCTTGTTTACTATATAGTAAATATTAAGACATTAATGTGGTAATCTGGGAGACATCTTGAGCTAAATTATACATGCTTACTAGGTTTATAAAAATGACATCATCAGTTTCTTAATAGCTTATAATATCATGGTGAGCACTCAGAGGTTGACTTAATTTGATTCTTTGAATGAATCACAAGGGTATTTTGGTAATTTCACAAAAACCTCTTCTTTCACTTTTTTATTTTTTTTTTATTTTTTTATTTATTTATTTTTTTTTTCTTCTTTCACTTGATAAACCTCATTGAGCTTGGCCTTTGTGCTCATTTGGTTCTTTTTTAGATGAAAAACTTGTTTTAGAAGGTGCATGATGATTATATTTTCACTCAATTTGACTGTAAATGTAAAATCTTTCTAAAAATTTTTGAGGGTGTCCATAGATTTTAAATATTGATTTTAATTACATTCAATCAAATGATAAAATTTAAAAAAAATTCCCAATTTTAAAACATAATTTTTAACTTCAAGCAACAGAACAAGCCCTAAATAGTGTTTTTCTATTGCAACGTGTTAGCTTTTTTCTCCCCTTTATACTTTATTTTTCATATCAGAGTTTAGCCATGGATTCTTCAAGAATTAAAATTTTGATAATTTCACTAAAATATGGATCATTCTAAAAAATATCTTAGATAACTGGAGAGACTGTTGGGGAAGTTAGAGCAGTCTCAGATATGCACGAGAGGAAAGCTGAGATGGCTCGCCAAGCTGATGCCTTCATTGCTTTGCCTGGTAAACATTTTCACTCTCCTCTGAGATATGAATTGGGTAATATTGTGATTTGATTATGTTTTTCATTCTGTTCAACACTAATGCTTCTGAAAATATAAAATTCAAGGTGGCTATGGGACATTAGAAGAATTGCTTGAAGTCATCACATGGGCACAGCTTGGAATTCATCAGAAGCCGGTAAACATTTTTACAGAAAACATTATATCTTTGATATACATAACGATAAATGTTGCCCGATTTGTATGCTTTGTTCTTTATTAGCCTAAACAACTTCGGTACATTGCATTTTGTTTGTTTCTTTGCTTTGTTTATCCATCCTAAGCACCACATCAGAAAGAAAGATATTTAGACTTTGAAATGGCTGTGTCGGCAAAACACAAAAGTGACTTTTTTGCAGCCTTTGTTAAACTTTGCTGACCAAAGACCTCATTTGATTTAGCTTCTCCTACGTGTTTTTGGGTAAGATAAATTGCTGCAAATCAGGCGATTTTTTGTGTGAAAAATGTGATTTTCTAGAAAAATTGATTTTTGATTGAAGAAATAATGATTTTACTATTTAAAATCTTTTTTATTTGCATATCTAGCACATTGCCCTAAAGCAGATATATGTACTTGTTCATGTCATGGCAACTTGGTGAGAATTTAATCAAAGTTAAAAATATAGGTTATGATTTTGCTGCTCTTTTTAAGATTTGGATATTATAAATAGAGCCAGTTGGATGTTACTTTTATAAATATTTGAAATTGTTTTGGGAAGTATTAAACAGAAAGTCCACAATTTCATGAATTCAAACTTGTGCCTTCGTGAAAGAGAGCAAAATCCATAATTATTAGAGTAATCAGACGACCACAAATATTGGCATTACATTTGTAATTGCCCTCTTTTCTTCTGACAAGATTAATATTTTATCTCATAAAATAATATTTGTAAAGTTATGTTTGAAAAAAACATAAAAACACAAAGACCAACCAAACAATGAGCCCGAAGTCATGATATTTAATTATTTATTGAAACCGTCAGTAATCTGAACTGATATCTTGTAGCTGCGCTGATTGATTAGCACCAAAAAGCATTTTTTAGCTTATTATAATACTCTCAAAGCAGATTATCTGCTTTAATTCTCCACCACTCACTCTATTGTTTTGTTTTGATGATCACTCCAAGTCTTCCATGTGGAACCATACCATAATATGTTAATATCTTACTTGTTTGTCTTGATGAGCTGCACCTATCATATAACATTCATAAAATTTTCTATATTACAAGAGTATAAAAACCTGCTTAAATCAATACAGGCATCAAATGATATCAAGTCAAACCACGGTTTCACATGGTTTACTTAGAGAACGGTCATCTGAAGCTAACATTTTTGTCATAATCTATTTGGACTAGATTCATTGTTATCTTAGATTGATCCCATGTGGTTTCATATACTGATTCTTTTCCTTAAATTTCTCATTTTTTTTTATTTGAAGGTTGGTCTTCTTAACGTGGATGGATACTATAATTCATTGCTCTCATTCATTGACATGGCTGTCATGGAGGAATTTATTTCTCAGAAGGCCCGTCACATCATTGTTTCTGCTCCAACAGCGAATGAGCTGGTCAGGAAACTAGAGGTAAATAATAACATTTTCTTCTTTAATTCATTTGACTATTCTATTCTCATCAGGGTTGTAAACAAGATAACCTATCTTGACCAACCTCGTGTTATTCAACTCGGCTTGTTAAGCAAATAAGTGAAAATATTTTATCCGTGTTGTGCTCGTTAACTTCTGGAGCTGAAGATAGAGTTATTCACGAGCAACAAATTTATATGAAAATCATATATATGTATATATGCATCTATATGTATGTATGTATCTATATGTATATATGTATCTATGTATCTATGTATGTATATGTATGTATGTTTGTTTGTATGTATGTATGTATATGTATGTATAATCAAGTTATTATTGAGCCAAACATGATCTAACTAAGCATTGGTTGTATTTACTTATGAAATATACAAGTTTATAAAAATTAATCAAACTGGAGCTAATTATTTGAGCAAGACACAATTGAATACGAACAATTAACTTATTTTTTACAGCCTTATGATTATATTGACTTTACTGCATCTGTTTTTCAGGAATATGTTCCTCAACCTGATGATTTTGTTTCAAAGTTGTGTTGGGAGGCAGCAGATCATCAAGAAGCAGCAAGCTTTGTGGCTGAGATGGAACCTGGAATGGCTTCTGCTTCTTCCTGAGTCAGCTCCTTCATGCTTTTCTTCTCTATTTTGTTGCCAACTGAATATAATCAAATATTATAGTATATACAAGCTTTTGATTACACCAACTCAGATATAGGATGATCAAGTTCAGTCATAACCTGTGGCATTTTTTGTAGAGAAATCATTATAGGGAGGTAGATTCAAACTGGTATGATTATTGTTTTGCTCCCTTTATGTATTTAAAACGTTTGAAAGCTTATAGATATTATATTCACTAAGCAATATGGCTTTCTGAGTTGTGATTGAGTTGTTTTTCTTCTTTTTGGTCTAATTTGTCAACAAATGTTTGGATGTTGGAGAAGCTGTGAAAAAGAAATTTTATGAACCGAATGACAAGTGGGAGGTAGGGGAAGCTTAGTATTGTAACATGGAAGAATAGATGGGTGGGACCCTTAATTGTCGGCTATGGTTGGAGGCTAAAAATAATAGTGGGCCCCCCTGTCATTATTCTGTTTGATCTATGTCTAGAGTATAGTAAATCCTTAGTCTTTTCAAACAGTAAGCCTCCATGGTAGCTTAGGACCTTAGGCACTCATGATGTCATTTTTATTTTCTGAAGATTTTTTTTTTCAATTTGTGAAGTTTTCAAAATTTTAATTATTTAATATATTAGAGGGGCGTGATGTACAAAAATTATGGGATGATCACTTTCTTTTTTAAGTTTGACTTATTAAAAGAAATTAATTTGGTGGATAATGATGATTCCAATTTATTAAGAGTATCCAAAATGAGATTATAAGAGAGATTCTTGTTGTTATGGTCCTTCAACGGTTGTCCCAAATCACCTTCGTTTGATTACAATCATATGGCTAACATCTCTCAACTATTGTCCTCAGATCACCATCGTTTGATTATAATCATTTCAATCATCATCGTTCACTACGATCCTTCAACCTCCATCGATCGATAATGATTCTCAAACCTCAATTGCTTAACTATAGCCCTCGAATTGACTATTTTTTTATTGTGATCATTTGACTACATTGACTCCCACTAACTTTGTCTCCTAATTGCTAACAATATTAATATATGTCATAAGATCAATGCATGATGTCTTATTAACAATGACTCCTGATATTAGCACCAAAATTTATGTTAGATTTTTTATTCTCTAGTTTCCCGTCTTTAAAAGAGTACAATCAATAAATAATCAAAATATATCATAATGATAGCCCACATTCAACATGTGTCTTTCAACTTTCACCATGCTATACATTCTACATATTATATATTTACTATATTGTATCATCACTTTCCGCTAAGGAAGGGCATAATTTATTATTGATGACATACAATAATGAAATCATTTCAATTGGATATGGCCTCATGATTTTTTTTTTTTATGAGATTTTTATGAAAAAAATATGATGTCTCTTATAACTTTTATTTTATCTGTATGTGTGTGCTAGACCTTTGTATTTAAGACAATAAATTTTCTAATTTTACTATCATAAATATTCTAGCACACAATAATTATAATACAAATTGGACAATAATGCAATATGCCAAAGGATTTGAATTGTTTTTATGATAGCTAATAAAGTTTTACAAAATTCCTTGTATGTTGGTGTGTGTTAGGCCAAAAGAAGAGAGGGTTGAGTGAGAATTTTAGAACTTTGAGCAAAATAGATTCCCTGGTTTAACCTTTAAGGGCTTCTCCTACTTATGATCTTCTCTTCTTGTCAAATTTGTCATACCTTGATTCTCCTCAAGGCACTAACCTCTTTAACCTATTAGGTTGAGAGAGATAGAAAGAGTAGAGAGAGCTTCAACAAGATAGTGGTCATTTGGCTATAGAGTGGAGAGAGAGAGTTCAACTTTCATCCTTCCCTTATTGTGACTTTTTTACATGGGCATCACTTTTTAGTATGTGTTGGGTGAAGATCAATAAAGAATATTAGAGGTTAAATGATATTAGGTTCTCTTACTTGGTCAATTTTCTTTTAAGAGAGAAGGTTGGTATGCTGGGGGAATTTATGCTAATGTTTATGATTGAAAGACTTCATATCTTGTTTTTTGATATGTATTGAAAAATTATTGAATATAACGTCAAAAGTTAGTCGACATTGGTTGCCTGACTCAATTATTCTCCTATAGGAGGGGAGATCAGCTAACCATGTAGGCTTGCATCAGATATTCTAGGGAGACTTGTATTAGATATTGGTTGTAAAAAAACATAAGGGTATGACAACAACTAGTATTAATGGCGGTCAATGGATGTTTGTTGATTATGTTGGCGTCGATATTGGTTGATGATCAACATCTTGTAATGGCAATAACACATGTCAATGTTTGTGTGTCAATGTATTTATAATTAAAAAGATTTTTTTGCGAGTTTTAGTTAATTTGGTCATCACTCCTTCAAATTGTAAGTAAAAGTCAATTCAAATAATTTACAATGAACTTCAAACACACATTTTAAATTAAGATGTTATTCAATAGATATTGATCTTCAAGTTATCAAAGTTTCATGTTAGTCTGATAGACATAATCATCCTCATCATTTTTATAATTTTGCAACTATATTGAACCACCTATAAAAATATTCATCAAATCATTAGGTGAAATTAGGAGTGCACGAGTCGAGTCAGGCCTAACTCAAGCTCAACTCATGAGTTAAATCTCGAGCTTGAACTCGAGTCGAGCTCAAAAGGCAAGCTTGAGCTCAGTAACTCAGTTTGTGCCACTACTAGCTCTTAGAGTAGCTCGATTCCACAGTTTGAGCACACAAATTAGTTCACAGACGCCGTTCGCACGCGCATAGGCCAGTTCTCCTTCAACAGTTCGCATGCGCTTCACCTTATGCAACTTAAACGTGTAGAAGCCGACAGCCTCTGTGCTTCGCTACTTTGCTTTCCACCTTCCAAGCCACTCAACAAGTAATCAAGCTGGTCATCATCTGGATCGAGTTGAGCTCAATAATCCAACAAGCTCGAAACTCGATAAACTCGACTCGTGAGCTCATTAACAAGTTGAGCTCAAGTCGGCTCGCAAGTTGACTTGACTCATTTGCACCCCTAGATGAAATCATATAAAATTTGTTATCATCAAATTCATAATGATCCACACATAAATCACCAAAGCTCTTGAAATCAACATGATATATAATTATTTGGAGGAGAGAGAAACATAAATCGTTATCAAACAAGAATCAAAATTAGTGTGACAAAAAAAATGTCTTTGTTCTTTATCCTTCAAAAGAACCCTTCAAAGGAATAAAGAGAGGAGAGATTTGGTGGAGAGGTGATGAGGATACATGTCAAAAGTGGGCTAAAAAGAGAGGAGAAAATTTGTTTTTGTTTTTGTTTTTGTTTTTGTTTTTTGTTTTTTGATGTATTTCATATAATTCATATTTTATTCTTATTTTCAAATACAATATTATAAACTATTACATTTTTATTAAATATCATTAAATTAATCAAATACACTTAACACACAAAATATATTTTATTTAATTTTTAAAAAAATTTTGGGGGCTGCGGTGTTGCCGGCCATATAATCCAAGTGTATGGGGGCGGCGGTGTCGCCGGCGGTTTGATTATTTGACTATAATTTTCTTTTAAGTAATCTCTACAAACATGCTAATTAACTAACTAATTAGTTGTCCATTCTATTTGAAGCCGGCATGGAAAGAACAAATTGTTTCTCACCATAGCTTTTGATATGATTTATTAATGACCGAAAGGTGTTGATGGATCTTCTCTTAATCTTATTCATTCTGCCATTTGTTTATTTCATGAAATTTGAATGTGAAAACAAAGATTTTTTTTCGAACTTTATGGGTCATTTCATGGTCAAAATTATGACTGTTGTGATAGAGACTACTTGGCATATGTTGATGATGCAATGTGATAAATTATTTTCTTCATGGTTTTCATTTAGGTCCCAAAAAAAAAAAAACTATTGATTCAAAATTTTTGTCTGATTAGATTTAGGTTTTGTTTGAGATGGCATTCTTACTGTTTTTTGGAGCAACTTTTTTAATAGAAAAAAGTTCTCGTTCAAAAAAAATTCGTATTAAAAAAACTACTTTAGAAATTAATAAAAAACTTGTACCAAATGAAGCCTTGAAGTTATTAGATTTACTTTAAGATGAGTGTAATATAAAAAAAATAATTAAAATACAGATTATATTCATCTTAAATTAAATCCGATGAATTTAAAATCCATCTTGATCGTAGTTTTCATCAAGATGTTTTGATATATCTTTCTCTCATATACTGATAAAAACCGTTAAATTTGCCGCCCTAAGATTAGTGCAATATGAATTTAAATTAGGTTTTAATATATTAAATTAAAAGCTCAATGATTTATTATGACTTAATTTTTTTCCCAATAAAATTACATCCAATTGTTAGTTGAAGAAAGACCCTTGAGAATGATGTACAAGTGCTTGCCAAATTGAAAACAAATAAGTAGAAATGTATATTTTAAGTTAGTTAAAAATAAAAAAAATCCTATATAATTTATCTCTTAGTAATTGCAAATCTCTATCATATCACCAACCCGTTAAAATTGACCTTACGCTTAAGGTCCAAAAAGGAAGAGAGAGAGAGGAAAGAAATCTAAGTAAGAAATTCATGGAAGTATGTAATTTGTACAATTATCAACTAAGTAGTAGATGTAAGAGTCATTCTTTAGGTTGATATTGGGAGATAATATTATAATATAGTAAGAGTATGAGTTTAGTATATTCAAAATATATTTATTCTATTGATTAAAACTATAAACATATTTCTAATTGGATTACTTTGTGAATAACAAGCATGATAAAGACATCTTTGAATTAGAGGGAGAATTTTACTATTAGAGCCTCACAATTTAAATTTGGTTGTTTATATTAAGCTAGTAAGAAACATAGACTAAAATTGATGTGATAATAGGTACAATTTTTTCTTTCAAAGCATATGAATCATTTTTTTTTAATTCAAGTTCTAGCCATTCATTTCTAATAAAAAGTTCTTTAATTTGACAAGTTTACATCTTGTTTAGGTTGTTGAGATTTTTTATTTATTTTTTTAATATATGTAAAGAGATTTAAAATTGGGGGGAATACTAACTTTGAATGATATCAATGAATTACTACAAATAACTAGTCCTATGTCAATCTACTCTATAAACTCATAATATCAATGATAAGTAAGTTAGATCTTTGAATCCCCAAAATATTCTCATTAGAATGTAGAGCTAGGTGGTTCAAAGTTTCTCAAACAAACATTATTTTTAAGGTTAATT